AAACAAATGGGTAAGTAATTAAAATAAATACTTAACATGATACTCTTGGACTTCCATTAAGAACTGGGAAAAGGAAAATATCTCTATACTGATTTACCTTCTTAGCAGAGTCCAAAGTGTTTGTTGATTCCTTCAGGACTGCATTTGTGCTATTTGAACATTGCTCAGAGAAGCCTTTAGAGAGGTTTAGTATAAACAAATCTTCTAACAGAAATCGCCAACTGTTTGAACAATGTCAAGCCTACTGAGTTCAATGCTGTTACAACACTTAGACCTCCAGCCAGGCTGGATGGGGCTTTGAGAAATCTGGTCTAGTGGGATGTATGCCTGCATATAGCATTCAAATATGCAGCAGTTCAAACACTTATGTTGTAACAAGATGGCATTTTATTCCTTCTAGATTATTTTTATGTGTGCAGAAACAAATTCATAAAGGTGAGGATGTATTTAGCAATAAAAACTGAAAACAGAAAATCAAAATGCTTATTATACCACACTGAGAAGAGTTATCTTGTCACAGTGCAGAAAACTCAGCAGCAATAAAACATAACACCCAGCATTCATCTTTACATCAGAGCTGCTGTCTGCTTAAACTAGGGCGTCTCAGGTATAAAAATAAGTCTTACATTAAAAGTAGTATGGACTTTTCTGACATTATAATAAAAGCTCTCGGGATGATGCAACTCAATTGTTGGTTCTCTATTCTTTGAATTTGCAACTCTTTACTAATGTGTCAATTAGCATCGTTATATAAGAAACAATAATGAGATGAAATAGATGAACAAATTATTCATCACCTAAACACAGTAGTCTACTACTTTCACTGACACATAGTAATTTATGAATTCCTACTGGTTTCACACTTGGCAGTTATTTGATTCTTCTGAAAGAAAATGTTTTCTTTAAATAAAAATGTTACAAAAATTTAATTACTGATACATATCAAAATCAGTGAACACAAATTAAGAACATTTTGATTCAAGGACTGTTTCATTGTGGTTTGTTTTTTTTTTTTTCTGAAATTATTTAAGATGACAAATTATTTTAGTATGTTCCTGAAATAAATCTAATACTGTATGCTATTTTGATGGAGTTGTTATAAGTATAGTATTGAAGTAGAAGTATATCTAGCACATTCTTTTATACCTTCCCTGCCCAGGGTTAACCAGACACTTTAATGATCTATAATAATCTATTCATTTCCACTTCTTAAAAAGATGGTAGCCTTGTGTATTGCTGGAGATGGCTGCTTTTTAAGCAAGTTTGAAAAGGATTGGAAGTATATTCAATGAAAGACATTATATACATCCTGGATGTTATTATTCTTATGTGTTGGTTGAGTGACTTTGCTGTGTTTTTTTTTCTTGGACCTTATATTAACAATGACAATTCATGCCACTTATTAGAAACATTTGTCTAATACGTATTTCTGTGTGAAGAGAACAAGTTATTCAGTGTACTGAATGCAATTATTCCAATAATATCACGAAGAACATAACCCTCTAATATTTCCATTGCTTTACTTAGATGTGAAATGAGATCTGGACCTAAGCCTTCACGGGAATATCACTATATATAAAGCTACCTACATTTTTTTCTTTGGTATTTCTATCCAGTCAACAGCAAAAATTCACATTTTTATTAAAAGGAAGATTTTTGCACTGTGAAAATCAGTTGCAAATTGGTTTACCAAGAGCAATTTATCAATGTAGATGTTTTCATCTAAGTAAATGTTTTACTTCAAATTACAAGGTACTTTTCTTCAAGAAAATTCAAAGTTCATATGCAACTACTAATGATTAATCGAATGAAAAATTATGGATCGCTGAACTTTTTCAAAAGACATATACATTTCTGAGAGTTTACTTAGTTACTTACCAAACAACTTCAAAAAGGATTTGATTTTGTGTGAAAAGCTGAAATTCACAGAATCACAGAATTGTAGGGGTTGGAAGGGACCTCCAGAGATCATCGAGTCCAACCCCCCTGCCAAAGCAGGTTCCCTACAGCAGGTCACACAGGTAGGCATCCAGGCAGGTCTTGAACATCTCCAGAGAAGGAGACTCCACCACCTCCCTGGGCAGCCTGTTCCAGTGCTCCGTCACCTCACTGTAAAGAAGTTCTTGTGCACATATGTGCGGAACTTCCACAAGTTTTCAGCACAAGTTTTTTTTAAAAGGTACATAGCTTAACAAATTGGTCTTCCTATTTTTCCCTTTTTGAAAGTGAAGACATTTATGCAGACTGGTTTCACCTAATACTGAGCTGATGTATTCCACAAGGTTGGGAAAATGCAGTACTCTGTTATGATACCTAGCCATAATCAAGGAAGCTATGGTAAATTTTCTTGAGTTTCACTGTGAATTTTGATGAATTATTTCAGTAACCATTAAAACCAAGTTGAAAACCAGTAAGTGACAGTCACTATATTTTGAAAACTGTTACTTTATCAAGGACTGGAACTGAGTATCAGTAGTAACACCATTTCCATGAAAAAGGATAGGTAACTTCTCTCTTACATAAGTATCATGTTGTAATTCATTCTGGAAATCGCAGCACTAGGAAGAGAATTAACAAAATAAAAATCATGACTAATGTATAAACCCCAATGTGACTTTCAGCTCCAAACTGAAATTCCTGTGCACTAAATAATAAGAACAATATACAGAATATATTGACCACTGATATGATTAGGGCTACTACTCTAATGGTGCCAGAAGCCTTGTGATCATAGCATATATTTCCATGACAACATTATTTTTTGTATCAGTGTAAGACTACATCAAAAATATCTGGTAAAATACTTGAAGAACTTGTATTTGGAGGTGATCTGATTCCATCTTGCCCTAACTCTCTTCATTCCATATTTCTGTTTGGTGAACTGAAGTACATAGAATTCTCACTATGACCATCCTGAATGACAGGAAGCTTCCTTAAAGAGATGTATCAATGTATCTTTATCTAGTAATTAACAAAAATAGATACATAATCTTCAAGTTATGCAAAAAATTTACACTTTTTATTTTTTTATTCTTCAAAACGCTTTCATAATCTCCCTAAGTACTTCAATTTTTTTCTATTCCTTCATGTCATGGTATCATTTCCTGATTGTAGCCTGTAACTTGGAGGAAAAACCAGATATGCTCTACACAACCTCATCCCTCAGTTCTAGACTAAACTCCATACTGTCATACAATGGCAGAGATGGTAAGATCAATATTTTGTGTCTTTTCGTTCATTAGAAAATACATAATTAGTCATCTGGCTATAAAGTCTAGCATAGTCTATAATGGGCTTCTATCTCGCTCAACATTCTAGAGCTGGAATTGAAGTGTTAATCATTATAAATTGCTGCTTGAGAGAAGGAGATAGCAATAAAGGAAAAACAAACGTACGGATCAAACAAGATGTCTTCAGAGAAAAACAATTCAGGAAAGATTAATAAAGCCCCTTGAAACTATTGGTTTAATTCTGTATGCCTGCTATAGACAGAGTATAATGGATAATTATCACTATGAGATATCGTAGAAATCTATACCATGAGGAACTGTATTTTTCTGTGACTCACTCACTCTGCAGGCAGCCTGATAAACAGACAAGAATAACAATGCTAGGGTCCAATAATTTTCTGATTAGCTAGATAACAGCTCACTGTGTCAAACAGTCACCAGGTCAGTCAGAGCAGACAGTGGTATTTATGCCCTGGTTTTGCAAGGAAATTAGAAATTACAGAAGGATTCTAGCACAAAATAGTTTTGGGAAAACATGACCACTAGCAATCTTAGTTTAAATAAATTAGCAGGCAAAACTAGACATGAAACTAAGCTTCAGATTTTGAAAGAGTAAATTTCAATAACATGGCAGTAAAATCAGATGGACAAAGGCACCTAGATACTTAAGTACACAAGACACCTAAACTTTCCTCCAAAAACAAAGATGCGAAAGTCCAAAATAAGTTGTAAAAATCATCTGAAATTTGTTCTCTGAAAAGAGAAATTATAAGAAATGGTACCAGTTGTCCTCATCAAGGATGACATTGAAAATAATTAAAGGATTTTAAACATAAACAAGTGTGGAACCATTTGCAAAAAAACCACCCTCAAAGAAAATAAAAAATTGTAAATACATTAAAATTAAGTTTCTTATTACGTAAACAATGAAATAAAGTAGCAGTTGAATGAAAATATATTTTTGTAGTTACTTCTGAAACAAGTGGTAATTGCTCAGTCTTCAAAGAGCACTTGGGTCACTTACCTCTCAGCTCACAGTACTTGGAACAACACCCTCTTGTATCTTCCCAAGAAACTTTCTAACTTTCCTTCACTTCTGTAGCTCTACTATGAGGTTTGAAACTGAGCTCATCAAATAAGTGTGCTCTGGCTAACTGAATACCTGATTGTTAAGACTGTACTCACCTGCATTCTCTACCACTGAACTGCAGCACAGAGAATTGGCTTCACCTGTAACATGACAACATTTGATCTGACAGAAAACTACTGATTTAGATCTTGTATGCATTAGATATATTGTTAGGGATAGATATACTATTGGGGAGAGGGCTGTTCGATAACAAAACAAAACAAAACAAAAAAACCCCAAAAAACAACATTCTAAGGTAAATATATGTTTTTCAGATAAAATTTCATCTAGTTTGGTCATTATCTCATTACTTAATTACATCACAGTGCCATGAATGTTATAGCCTTACCAATTTTATGATGACTTAACTGTGTCAGTGAACAAGGGAACAGCCATTGATGCCATTTCTATGGACCTCAGTACAGCCATTGACATAGTACCCCCAACATCCTTCTGTCCAAGTTGGAAAGATATGGATTTGATGGACAAGGAACTGGTTGTGAGATTGCAGCCAGAAAGTAGTCGTCAATGGCTCAATGTCTGGATGGAGATCAGTGATGAAAGGTGTCCTTCAGGGGACAATGCTGGAACCAGTGCTCTTTAATGTCTTCATGAATTACATCAATAGTGGGATTAAGTGCACCCTCAGCAAGTTTGCAGATGATACTAAGCTGAGTGGTGTGGTCAATATGCGCAAGAAATGGAATACCACTCATAGACAGGCTCTAGAAACAAACCCAGCAGGAGCTTATGAGGCTCAATGAATCCAAATTCAAGGTCTTGCACCTGGGTCAGGGCAACCCTCACTATCAGTACAAACGGGTGGAGGAAAGGATAGAGCACAGCCTAGCCAAAAAGGACTTGGGGTACTGGTGGATGGGAAGCTGGACATGAGCCAACAATGTGCCTAGCTCAGAAAACCAACCATATCCTGGACTGCATCAAAGAAGAGTGGCCAGCAGGTTGAGGAAGGTGTTCCTGCTCCTCTGCCCTGTGCTGGTGAGACCTCACCTTGAGCAGTGCGTACAGATATAGAGTGCTCAGTACAGAAGACATGTAGTCCTTTTGGAGTGTGTCCATAAGAGGGTCACAGAAATGATCCAAGGGATGGAACACCTCCCCTGTGAGGACAGGCTAAGAGAACTGGGACTGTTTAGCCTGGAGAAGAGAAGGTTCTGGGGAGAGCTGACAGAGAAGTCTTTCAGTATTTAATAGGGGCTAGAAGAAGGAAGGGACAAAATCTTCAGTGGTGTCTGTGGTGATAGGATGAGGGCAAATGGCTTCAAACTAAAAGAAAAGAGATTGGATATAAGGAAGAACTTTTTTCAAAGTGAGAGTGGTGAGGCATTGGAACAGGTTGACCAGAGAGGTGGTGGATGCCCCATCCCTGGAGACATACAAGGTCAGGCTGGAGGTGGTTCTGAGCAACCTGATGTAGCCGTAGGTGTCCCTGTTCATTGCAGGTGAATTTGACTAGATTGCCTTTAAGAGTCCCTTCCAACTCAAATGATTCTATGATATAGAATCAAATTATTCTAATTTCATCATTTTATAATGAAATTATGAAAATTTTGTTTAATCATTGGATAAATACTAATTTAAAAAAGATGCTTTGAGAAAGCAGAGATTTTTCTGGTATTATCTAGGTGTGGTTAGATCAGCTATAGTTTGTGTCTCTTCCCTCCTTGTCTCTTACAAAATTAATTATCATTATTGATTGTTTACACATAATGAATAAAAATGTTCATATGAATTTTGCGCTTTACTTGACACAAATTAAGTAATTAGATAACAGCAAGGCTTTCCTTACCCAAGACTAAAAGAAGTGGGACACTTAAAATACAGTCCATCCTTTATAGCATTCTGATTGTACAAAAAATGTAATAGAATGGGTCATGTTGCTCAGAAATCCAAGAATTCACAGGGAATGTTCACAACCCTATAAATTAATTACAATTTATTACCTAAGGTGCACTTGTTGGGTTTTGAATTTGGCACAGACATAATCACTTCAGGTTTGTCTGCACCTTTTGTACAGAAGCACTGATGCCTGGTAAGACACCTAAGCAGTGTTGAAAGGTGCTCCTTTACCACAAGCTATATTTATCTCTTACAAATCTACACTGCTTTGTATTAAAATGGGAATGGTTTCAAGCTACGGCAGGGGAGATTCAGGCTGGACATGAGGAAGTATTACTTTTCAGAAAGGGTGGTCAGGCACTGGAATGGACTGCCCAGGGAGGTGGTGGAGTCACCGACCCTGGGGGTGTTCAAGGAAAGACTGGATGTTGTGTTGAGGGACATGGTTTAGTAGGAGCTATTGGGAATAGGTGAACGGTTGGACTGGATGATCTTTTAGGTCTTTTCCAACCTTAGTGATTCTATGAAAATTATCTATGAAAATGCTCTTTCTTTTGACCACAGCTTGCCAGCCACAACAGCAATTTGATGCTCTGAGGTGCTGCTTACTCAGTTCTTGGAAGCTCTTAGACCAGAACTAAATCCCTCCATGCAGAGAACATGCTTTTCTAGTAGTAGACAAAAAAATTAAGTAATGTATTCTGTCAGCATATGCAGGGCTGCAGTTAAAATGTTATGGGCTGGCATGCTACAGGAACAGGATACTTTCACCAGCCAAGATCTGTTTTAATTGAGCTGCTGTTTGTTAAATTTTATGCAGTGGTTTCATTGTGTGCTTGTAGCTGCTTTTGTAGGAACACCAAATGTTGATTAACTCACAAAAAAGTGAATTATTTGATGACGAAAATCAAAATAATCACACAAAATTTGAAGTTTGCTCAGAAAGCCAATCATAGCCACTAAATGCTGGCATGGCAATTTGCAGTGGTGCCCATAAATCCTGTCACTTGAAAAAGAGCCAATTAATAACTAAATGCATCCTTATACTGTGCAAGTAGTAAACAAGCATACCCATTTTGCAAAGCTCTTGAGTTGTAAGTCAGTGAAAAAAAAAAATACTTGTCAATGTATCTTTCCCTCCCAGTCATATTCACAGGGAAGAGTCTTATCTACCTTTGAAAAAAAAAAATATAGAGAGAGAGAGAGAGAAAGAGAGAGAGAGGAAGAGAAAAAGAGTGGTAGATCCAGACCATTAAGAATTTCTCAGGTGGCTTCTGACAGGCTTTTCAGCTTTATAAATAGACATTTCTACCAGTCAATATTTAGCTACCTTTTTTTGTTTTAAACAAGCTTTCAAGCATTTTTTTTTTTTTTCCATTTGTGTTATATTTAGACTGACTCACCTCCCTTTCCAATCAGTTGGTTAAATGGACAAGTTCAATCCAAAATGCAAGTATACACCTGTAGGTTAAGGGACAAATATTTTAGGTGAGGCAAAACATCAAATTAACATAATTTGTGATGACTGAAGACTTAAATTTAGAATGACATCTTGCATGCCCTATTCTCCTTTCAAAAAGATATATCAGTTCTCTGTCCTGGTATTTCAGGCAACAGTGCAAGAACAAAGCAAATCTCAACCTTTCATTCTGTCTCCCTCTGGTCAAAGTGAGATTCTACTGCATTTCCTCAGAGAGTGCTTATCTTCAACAGAAAGCATTTTTAAATTGCTAAGAAAAATTGCACCAAATAATGGCAGTTTTCCCCAGTGTAGAAAAAAACTTTTTAATGAAGTGCTCTGAATCCATTTCAGTATTTATTCCTAGAGTCAGAAATAGTGCTTCTAAATGTATTTGTTTTCCTTTCACTTGCTTGAACCAGAAGCATTGATTTAGGGTATAAGTCTGGATATATAATGTGGGTTAAAAGAAGATTCTCCTAGATATAATCCAGTCTGCTTTTCAGATCAATGTCTCCATGCATCTCCCCCCTAGATATCTCTCCCCTAGTTCCCCCAAGATAATTGCAGTACATGAAACATCCTGATGATGCTGCAGAAAAATATTTGCCCACAGAAATGTTTTTGTCTTTCAAATATAGCTGACAGGATTTAACCAAATCAGGAAAGATATCTCCTTGGCTGCACAAGTCATCACTTCAAAAGAAAATAATGGGGTGGTTGAGTCTGTTGATTGGTTGAGTTATAGGAGTGTACACAAGACCTGTCTGCATTTATTTCTTCAAACCTTCTTTTGATAACTGTTCACTACAAAACTATACAAACTCCCTCGGAGATGAAGATTTGTATTGCAGTAGTTTTCTCACAAGGTAGCCAAAAAGTGGCCAATTTATAATAAATGTCTGCCTTTGTGTGCTGAAATATTAGTTTAAAATACTTCATTTCTAAAGGGAACAAAAGACTCCTATAACTATAACGCTATAATATCTAAAAGAGGTCAGAGGAAAAAAAAAAAAAAAAATCAAGCATTATTTTAATCTTACTTAACATCTTTTTACATAAATACAAATCCTTCTATTGAGATAAAGTAGCAAATTATTTAATCATGCTGGAACCACTCCTGGATTTGAATACAGAATACTGATTTAGATTGTCTTTACTTCGCAATCAATCTTAAGCTATCCTTTTCATACACTTTTGAAGAAACCCCTGAAAGGAATTAAATATTAAGATATTGCATTCTGTAAATTGTATGTCATATAAATTTCAAAGATTCATACATTCCTGTAAGTAGACATTACTAGGCATTTGAATTAAGTCTTCTTTGTAAATCCAGTGTAGTAGTTAACAGAACATGAGAGCATTTGTTAACTATTATTCCCAATCATTCAAACAGAATTTTCCAAATTAATGGACAAGTTAAAATAGAGAATAATATCTTTTCTGCAGTAACTGTACAGAATATAGTGAAATTCTTCCAGAAAATAAAGTACTATGTAGATCTTCCTATATGGTAGATATGTATAGCCTTGTGTAATTAAAATAAAGATTATATGAAGCCAGCACAATAACTTCAGAATATTAAATCAAATATGTGAACAAATAGTTTTAAAGCGTGTATTTACCATTTTATTACAGCTGTTCATTTGTGGACTTCTTTTTTGGTGATGTTAGTGATTCAGAGTGAGGCATCTTTCAAAACCATAATCATTAAAAAGCCACGGAACTGGATTTCAGATTTATCAAAATAATACGGAAGCTTTCTTCTGATTCATAATTACCTATTAGAAATGAAACTCTGTTCTACACTTCTTTGATGCAGTAAAGCAGTTTTGCTTGCTTTCCTTTGGAAACAATTTCAGACACAGTCACAGTAGAAATATGCACTAACTAGACAAATAAGCAGTATAAACCAATAAAGATTTTAGCCCACAATAAAATAAAAAATATCAGTTCATTTTACAGTGTAAAAATAGAAGTTAGTTTTCAAAAGCTATTGCTATGTATATTAATACAGAAGGTTTCTAGTTTTGACACCTTAACATTTTGCAGTCTGCTGAACTTTGTGGTAAACAAATTCATTTTTTTTAGTACAAAATAAAATACAGATGTTGCATTCTATACACAGGAAAGCAGAGACACAAGTGTGACTTGCAAATCATACACAGGAGCGGTGACACTAAATCTAAGCGGAGAGTAGGACTTCTGTAACTTAGCTCTGCAAATGGCTGTCTTTAACTAATAGTATAAAAAACCCACAACAATTCTAAATTAAAAAAAAAGGCGCGCCTACAACCTTCAGCTTGCTTGTACCAACTCCTAGGTAAGCAGACCTAGAAATCCCCCTCCCTCCCCTCCAAGAATTTAAGCGAGTTGGCAAGTGATTAACCCCATTCAGGGATGTCATAGATTTAGAAGGAGCTCAGGGGAAATCAGTGCAAGCATTGATTTGATTTTCTGTTTGAATATAGTATCAAAGAGACATACTAGAGAAAAGAGATTAATCCAGCAGAAAACATGTGCTATAGCTGTGTTATGAATATTTGATGGGCCTTCAGTACTATAAAGCCAATACTACTCTACCACGGCTAAGGCAGGAAGTAATCCTCACTCTGTGTGTGTCTGCCTACCTGTTAATCACATTTCGTGCTACAGGAAATAATGGGATGCAGATAAACCTCTGAATGTTGTTATACATACAAAAGACCAGAGCTCTAGAATTCACACAACCATGCCTAACAGGTTACTGCTCCCCTTACTGGTCAATTTGTTCAGCAATTTTTGTTAGGTTATCTGTCACACCTGCACTGAGACAGCAAAGTAAGGCTTTGAGTCTATTACTCCCAGACCTCCTTTCTACCACCTCCCAGGGCTGCTCACATTATGTGGCACTAGTTTTACTACTTCTCTTTCTTATAAACTTTCATATATATATATATATATATATATATATATATATATATATATCTCCTTTTCCTTACACCAAGGCAGCCAATGCCTCAAATAATTAAAATCTGAAGTTGTATCTTTCAAAATCTCATTATTGAGCTCAACATTTGAACATATACAGGAAAACATAAGAGTATTTTAATTTGTGCTACAGAAAAAAAAAATTGCTATTGGACAAAAAAGAACAATACATTTAGTTCTCTCTTCTTCGGGTGTGATTTGTTCACTTTTTAAATCTATTTTATTTTTCCCAAATAGCATAAATGCAGGATTCCTCCATAGCTGCATACTTCCTTTAATACGGCAGAGATTATTCCCCTATATTTATATCATGCATTAAAGGAGGTGGAGAAAATGGAATCAAAATTTCAGCAGCTCTTCCCTCATTCTCCCATTTTTTCTGTTGCGAAGGCATTTTTTTCCTCAATTTTTGCTCAAGACACATAAGGCTGAAAGAAATAAGTTATTATTCAAGTTCTTTAAAAAGATACTACTTTAAGTTACTTTTTTATTCAATTCTTCCTGATACACTGATTCATCTCATGTAGCAGGCAAGTTAATTTCCTCTTGAATTTCTCAAATTCTACTATATTTAATCGGAAGAGGCTGTTTAAAACAATTAGTGAAATTTACTTTGGCTCTCATGTAAATGCTGCGTTTTCATGGCGAGTATTTATGCAAACTGGATACTTACTGGGAATGAAACAGCTGCTGCAGTTTCTGCTTATCAAATCTGAAAATACAAGTTACATGTTTTCTATCTAGCTATGCAGAAAGTGCATCAATTGCAGAAGAGAATGAATTGCATAGAAATTATTTCTTTTCTAATACATCCAAGGGAAAGAGTGAGTTGCTTTATAGGTTGCAGTACACATGCAGGTTGCCCCCAGAGACATTCTGTGGAAAGCTGTTAGTACATTGATTTGGATTAACCTACTTTGTCTCGGAAAATGTTACATGACATAACCTCGACAAGTTTTTTTTAAAAAAAAGGTGTAAACAACTGTAATGTTATGATGTGATGGAAAGTACAGCAATAATAGCAGGGTAGCAACATCCTTAACTGCAACAACTGAGGACAAGCCCAAATGCAGATGCTGTGAATACAGAAATGAAAGAAAAAAAAGCTGCTTACCTTCAGAATGCCTCAGGTACATAGAGATCTCCACCAAAATATCCTTACCTCCACTGTCAACCCTTACATGATATTTGGGAGGGGTGGATCCTGGCTCCATTCCATCCAATCACTCAGGTGCATTGCACCTGAGCTCCCCTGGGTTGTCCCTGACTTCCCACCAGGTGTTTAATCACTATTTCAGCCCATGACTTAGAATTTCAACTACAATTTTTTCATAATTTAAGTCAATATCTTGTTCACTAGCCCTGTGATATTATTGATGACAACAACACATACTCATTAAAAGATTCCTATGAGAATTTTGATACATTTTTGTTTTGAAGACAAAGAAGGAAAGGTTTTGTAAACATAACCTGAGCTTTCTCCTTCTCAAGCCTCAAATGAGAAAGATATTCTCAGATACCAAAAAAGAAGACGGTTTTTTAATCTTAATATCCTAAGTTCTATAATGTTACTGCAGAACAACTGTCAATTGTTATTGCACTTACTCAATAGCCTTTGAAATTACTTTTGAGTCAACAATACATATGAAAATTACAATTTTCATCAGTGTGACTTGAGAATTATTTCATGTTATATGCTAGGGTCCAGTTCTCACAAAATAAAAAACTTGTCTGACTCCTACCAACCATTAGATTAGTCCCTTAAAGCATCTAAGAGAGAGTCCAACTCACTAAACAAGATGAATTATTAGACAAAAATCTATTTTCCCTGCATAGTCTCCTTACAGCATGATCTTCAAGTTGGTCATTGTAGAGAAGAGAATTTCCTCTCCGTGGCTCTTTTATCACAGTCACATTGTGATAAAATATGTGACATTGAAGCACATGTGACATTGAAGCAGAGTGTCAGTCATTTTCCAATGTCTGAAGACAAATTCCTCAGTGTTATATTTACTGCTCTCACTGCAACACAGCAAAATGTCTTGTAAAACTGGTAAGAAATGGAGTGGAAAAAATGAAGGTATAATTACATGCCCCTGCTTATGTGTTATGTGGTTAATTAATCAAATGAGTGAAATGGGAGCATGGATGAAATGAATTAGTCATTAGAAACAATGAGATTTGAATTGTATTTTACCAGACCAATAAAGTTTTGCAGGAGTCAAATGTCTTAGGAAAGACAATAAGAAATGACTAAATAATTGCTGGGGGGTGGAGGAGGGGATTTGAACCATCTTCATTCTGACAACAACTGAAGGACCATTATTTTACCTAAATGTAAAATATATGAGGATAGAAGAGATGAAGAAGATTATTCCGACTTCATAGAGGCTGGGAGATCACTAATGTGTATTAAATCTCCTGTATTTCTAGGCTTTTGCTTGTTCCCTAGTCTAGACAGCAGTACAATTTGAAACTTCACACTGTGCAGGGGTACAATAACATTTCCATGCCACCATCCCCGGCCATTGGTCTTAAAGAATGACCCATTTTTTTGGAGTGAAGGGCCTTGGATGATAAGGCCCCTCAGTTACTTTCCAAAATGAGCAGTAACACATCATCGCTCTAAATCTCCTATTGTCACTACAGCTCCCCTCTTGACAGAATTTCCAAGATGCAAGTGGCAGGATATGAAATAAGAGTAAAGAGTGGAAAAGATGGTACTAGGCTGTACTGGCAGCCTGAATGGTGCAGTGTTCTGCACTTTTTGAAACTTACTTATGGACTTAATCTCAGTAACCTGTGGGGCTTGCCATTTATTTCTCATTTTTACTGTCAGAAAGAAGCTCAAAATATCCCAAGAGGAGTAAAGTTGACATCACACTGTTGTCAGCCTCTGCTGCCTCCAAAGTCACAAATTTGAAAGAAATAACTGTCTGTAGATGTTTGTTTACACAAAGGTATCAGGTGGGTGTGAACAATATGGTGCCTTGTTTCTTACTACATGTCATGTTTTTTGATATCGTTTGATTGTACTCTGTTGTGATTTTAACATGCTGACAGTTCAATATAGAATTGCTCGTATTACCTTAGCCTTCCCCCTTTGTCAGAAACAGCTAGCTTTGAATGATTAAACTGTCTTCAGTTTATGGGTTGGCAACTCATGGGTTGGCCTCGTCAAATGGGCATACCACTAAGGCATTATTTATATAGCCCATTCCTTCAGGTAACATCTCAGAGCATATGTCCCTGAAACATTATAGATGCTTGTCTGATCTTGAATGACATCACTTTTACAACCCGTCCAAAAAAGTATTCTAGAGCTAAGCTACCTCTACTTTCCTCTTTGCTTCACTGCAATCTCATTTCTTGCTACATCCCCAGTGGGTGTAGAGAATGTATGCTACTTTCTCTAGTTAGTTTTTATGTTCATGTATTTAGAGACCCACCATCTAAAGCCCTTATTTTTCCCCTCAGATCATGTATTTTGACCAGACTCAGTGATTTCTAATTTTTTTTTCCATGCTGGCTCACACTTCTCTTAAAATGCAGGATCTGAAACTAGCAGCTAAAGCTATCCTAAAATGGAAGCATAGTAAAATTACTTCACAGTTCTTCTCCACAACATACAATTTTTCCAGCAGTGCGATCCTGATGATTTAGACTCAGGCTATGATCTTCTGACAGCTGCAAGGGTGATGCAGGAAGAGAGAGGAGCAACCAAATGGGAGAGAGAGTGCAGAAATAAAAGTAATGTGTCTTTTGAGAGTGGGAGTACAGCCAGGGTGTGATAAATGGTTACAAGCTGTAATAACAGTCCAGCAGATATTTAAAAGCATTTTGCTGCCACCTAGTACTCTGTAATAGTAGAAGCACTGGCCTTTGGAAAAGCACAGAAAAGAGGAAAACATGAAGAAAAAAAAAAAAGACCCCAACCTAAAGTATGTGACGTCTAACATGAGCCTCCCATGCAGAAATGGATCTGCAAATAGTGTGAGTTGATGACTCTCTGTAGGATACCACTGTCCATAGATAATAGGAAATCCAATCCATAGTGTAATAGTGTTTCTGTGAATTGTAATATTGATTTTCTAACTAGCACAGTGGACTAGGTGTTTTTCCTGCTTACCTCGTTGGCTTTAAAATGTGTGTTTGTTCATGCATGCATCTTCCTAGTCCACTAACTTTTCTTAAGTCACTTGTTATGGTGCACTCTTACAGTCAGGATGCACTCGAGATCAGCCTCTCTTTCAGTGTGTGAAATGTTCAGTTAAAATACTGCCTCTGATACAACCACTGGATTTGTAAGCTAATCTTTGCCCTGTACTTCTCTGCAGTGCAGGTAAAAAGCCCTGCATTAAAATGCCATGGACAGTGCTCTCACTACTTCTAGCAAACAGAGAGAAAAACATCAAAAATTACAATAAAACACAAACTAATCATCTTCCTTCCTCATCGTGGTAGTCAGTGGATGTCTGTTATGAATATACCTTATCCTGCTGAGTTGCTGCTGTCTAGAAACATGTATAACTTTGCAAAGTATATAGTAGTGTCTCTCTCACTTTATCCATGGCTGATATTCCTAAGACTTATCTTTCTGTTATAATACAACATTTTATTTTACCTTACAAAAATTTTATCATGTTATTTAAGCACTATTCACCTGATTTGTGAATTATGTCCTGTCATGACATATTTGCTTGGCATTCCATTTACTGACTTTTTTTGTCAAAATAATATCCCTTGAGTAGCAGTTCTAAGATATCCTTGGTATATATGGGGCTAAGAACCCTAAAATGACTCTTGGGAACCTAAAAATCTATTTATACATTTCACCTTCTGAATGGAATTCTGAATTCTGAATGGAGAGAATTATTATTTTTCTCTGTCTTCAAATAACAAAGACCTCACACACAGCTGAGGGACATGATGAGACAGAGTGCAGAAAACTGTAAAAGCTCCTTCCCTGAAACAGATATTTTTAGCCTGTATGAGGTACATAAATTGATTTATTTAATGGACCAGTAATACGTGCATATGAAAGGGACCCCAGTTTATTGTCCCTTTAGGTAGTCCTTTTGTTGTTTTATACACTGTTTTCAAGTACTGTGTGTCAAAAGTCATTTTCTGACAGACTGCCATTTACAAGTCCTGCATTCTGATGTTTTTACAAATGCTTGCTGCTGTTCTATTAACCTTAATTACTCACCTACATCTCCCAAGACTGAGATGTTCTTGAATGAATGCACAAATACAGATCTTACAAAGAGCTGTTGTTTTGCTGAATCCTTCCTGGACATTAAGTTGCAATGTTTTGCAGAGTGCCACTCATCTATGAAGTAAAACATATAGTCAGTGCAGAAATATAAATGGTGAAAATTCTGGGATTAACACACAATATAATTATCTTTAGAACTTTTTATATATTAAGAGATTATCACCTTTCAGATAAGTTACCTTCAGCACAGTAGCATTAAATAAGGAGATTCAATTTAGTTCCACGTTGTAATTTCACTTTCCAAAAGTTTATGTGCTTGCAAAGGACTTGGTAACCTGTCTGCTTCTACATGAAACATAATGTAAAGGGACATTTTTTTCAACCTGCATGACCACAAGCCTTGGCTTTGTATTTCATGTATGATTTGAATCCTCAAAACTGTTCTGTTTTGACTTTATTTTTAGTTCTCATTTTGAAGTTTAAGTACTTGCTGCAGGGATTTAAAACATCTGTTGTTTTTTAGCATAAAGAGTTATATATATTTGCTGCTTGATATGGAATATTTATAGGACAAAAGGATATATTACAATTGTTTGGTATACAGACTAGAAAGAGATACATTTAGAATTGCAACACTTCTATATGTTTCACACAAACTTTTAAAGGGAAAAGAGTAAAACATTTGTCTTGGATATAAATTACAGACAAGAAAAAATGATACCCAACATTAGCAGTGTCTTGAAGCAAAACAAAATATTTATCAAATTTCCCACTTTTCAAAAGATATGTTTTGGTAGCTGTATATGGAGACAGAATACAATTTGGAAACAAATGACTGGCTATAAACTTTTTACTTGAAACACTTTCCCCTTTTTCATAGTATTCTGTTTGTTGTTTACATTGCACTTCATCAAATCACAACATAAAAA